TTCCTAAATGGACATCCACCATTCTCAAACATCTTATAATAACCAAGAAGAAAGCCCATGCTGTTTATAAGCGAACCAAGTCGATATCTGATTATCTTGTTTTCTCGGAATATAGAGCAAAATGTAAACGCCAGTCAAAAGTTGATTACTCTGCTCATATTAGGCATACCGAGGAGGCTCTTTCATCTTCCCCCTCCAAATTCTGGAAATTTGTAAATAATCTAAAACAGAAACCTCCAATTCCGTCATCACTCCATCTCGGTAATATTGTCTCAAATACTCCAACTGAATCAGCTAATCTGTTTTCAACTCATTTCTCTTCGACGTTCAACTCCTCGGCTTTCCAACTTTCACCATTTACTGGCTCATCTGATTACTTATCCTATGAACTTCCTTCCGATATAACGTTTTCTGTTGACGATGTTTTTTCCGCTCTTAAATCGTTAAAAAATACTTACTCTAATGGTCCAGATGACATATCCGCTCAATGCTTGTACAATTGTCGTTTTTCTATTGCTTATCCAATATATTTACTATTCAGGCGTTCATTAGATTTAGGTATTTTTCCTAAGGTTTGGAAAATATCCTCTATAGCACCTGTTCTGAAATCTGGTGACGCTTCTGATATCCAAAACTACAGACCAATTTCTATAATACCACATATTGGTAAATTATTCGAATCGATTGTATACTCCAGAATAAAGCGTAGTCTTAATCATCTTATTATAAGTGAGCAGCATGGTTTTAGATCGCATAAATCAACCGTTACAAGTGGTGTTGCCTTCTCCTCTTATTTATCAGAAGTTATCGAACACAGAGGTCAGGTAGATGTAATCTTTACAGACTTTAATAAAGCATTTGACACAGTGGACCACGATTGCCTTATAATGGTGCTTAAGTCTTTAGGCATTGGGAATCCCCTACTATCTTGGTTGCACTCTTACATCACAGGTAGAAAACAATTCATAAAAATCAAAAATGCTGTTTCGGAGTTAGCTGTAATACCATCTGGAGTCCCTCAAGGAGGCCACCTTAGTCCTCTTTTATTTATTCTGTTTGTGAACTCGATAACCAAATGGATCACTAAGGCTAAACTCCTTCTTTTTGCTGATGATATAAAAATATTCCTTAAAATAGACAATCTTAATCAATGTCATATCCTACAGTCTGAACTAGATATTTTTGCAAGTTGGGCGTACTCCATTGGTCTTAGCCTTAATATAAGCAAATGTCATGTTATGTCGTTTTCTAGGCAGCGATCTCCTATCCACCACAACTATTCTCTTAATGGCACTTCTCTTAACCGTGTCTTCCTCTATAAAGATCTTGGTATTCATTACTCACCATCATTAAATTTTGAGCACCATATTAATGTCACTGTAGGTAAAGCTTTAAAAGTATTGGGTTTTATTAAACGCAATACTAGTCAGTTTTCTTCTGCTCGTTGTCTCTGCACATTATACTTCTCATTAGTACGTTCTATATTAGAATACGGTGTGGTAGTGTGGCATCCCTACCTTGCTAAAGACGAACTAAGACTCGAGCGTGTACAAAATAGATTTCTTTCCTACATTGCCTACATAATGAAGATACCTCACCCAATGCATGACTATTCATTAATTCGTAGTTCATTGGGTATACCAATGCTGTCAACTCGTCGACAAGATGCTGATGAGCGCTTTTTAACCTCGCTCCTAGGTGGCACCATAGATGCACCCGATCTCCTCTCTAAAATATGTTTCCGTATCCCTTCCTTCTTCTCCAGAAATCACGCACTCTTCCAAGTTCCGACTCACAATACATTATACGGACATAATCACCCCTTGCACAGAATGCTTCGTAATCTGAACAATCTTAATTTTGATTTTAATAAGTAATTAAATAATATCATTTATAAATATGTTGTATCATAGTTATACATTACTAAATTAAGGTATTACCACTTAGTTTATATTATGTTGTGTTTTTCCATATGTTCTAATTTGTGTGAATTTGTATTATATTATTGTTATATCTATTAATTTTAAACTTAATGTGTTAATTTAGAATTGCCGTTTGGCGTTTATATATTATAAATAAATAAATTATTATTTTCAACAAAATAGACTATGGCAGACAGTACAGGATTACTGATTTAATAAAGTTCTAATAAAGTTCTGACTCGTAAATGTTGATCAACATATAATCAGCACAGTGGAGTACTCAACCCCAATGACCCCCCCCTCCACAATCAGCCTTATTTCTTTTCACTTTTTCATGTGTATTACAATAATTATTATATTTTAATACCAAAAATATCAAAATTATTGATTAAGTGATTAAATTAATATAATAAAAAATAATAAATGAATGTAGGTATAGATTTTACAATTATGTGTTTTTTTTTTTTTTATAATTTTTTATTTGTATGTGTACACGATAAGTAGTCGAAGTAATGCTTCGATTTTCAACTTCAGTATCTTGTTCGATGGCAAAGTGAATCTAGTTGGTGTATTGGGGAGGTCAAAATCCCATACTCCCAAAGTGTTAAAAAGCGCCGAGAAAAAAAAAATAAAAAAAAATAAGGAAAACTAGGAATTTATACGCTAAATTGGTTTTTGACAATATCAATTTTGGTTTTTGGTGTAACTCTAAAACAAATGACCGTAGATACTTGACATTTTCACTGGTTGTTTATATTATCATTGTCTATACAGAATAAAATGTGTTATTAATATTATTTTGATTTTTTATTAATGGGTTACGAATTTTAGATTTCCAATTTTGCTTGTTTTTTTTATGAATGTCAATAAAATTTTATTTGTTCTATACCTAATAAAACTTGACAATTTAATATAAGGCTCTTAATAAATTGTTACAATGACATTTGAACAATATTAAAAATCCATAGGCACAATTTATCATATGTTTATTTTATCAATTCCTATACGGCTATATTTGATAAAATTTTCAAAATATTTTGACTTGTTATGAGCTGTTTATGGACAATTTCAAATTTTTAGTTTTTTTTTCTATAAAAATCAATACAATTTTAATTGTAGTCTAAAAAGTAAGGCTGGGTATTAACGAGTCAATAAGTTGAAGTTAAGTTACTTTTAACTAAGTTAAGTAACGAGTTCCTTTTTTTCTTATGTTATTCCATAACTTACGAGATCATGAATTTTATTGCCACGCTAAGTTAATTTTTTTCCTAAGCCACAGGTTTAAAATAAATTAAATTTTGTAAAAATTAATTTTATAAAAAAAGAATCCGAAATATTAAATATATTAATTAGTAAATAATAATTTAGGTATAACAATAGTTATTATGCTGCATATTCACAGAAAATTTTGTATAACTATATTATAGACGGAAATGTTATAAGGGTTACTGTTAATATTACTTTCTTACAATATTGTATGGCACATTGGCACCTATTGTTTGAAATTTTGAATAAAAATATGGATAACTATAAACTATTAACTTAACACATCTCATGCAAAATGGAGTCATTTAAATAATTTTAAAGAAACGTCGAGGGCCGCGAAAACAGGACGCGGGCCCATGTACGGATAAGTTTATATTTATAAGTATAAAAAAATCTACAGGTTAATAATAAATTAATTTTAAAAAGATAAAGATTTATTCTTGTTGGCAATGCACAATATCTTATAAATTGACCAGTTACAAAAGTAGTTAGTAGTGTAAAACGGTAAAGAGAATGGATAGAGATCATGGACTAAAACTTGAAAGTATTATGTTTTGAAATGTTTGATAAATTATTATGGTTTTATAATGATTGTTAAAGTAGGTATGAATGTTGAAAAGGTTAGTTTTTGGTTGCATTATTTTACTTTTGATGTATGAAATACCAAATACAGCTCACTAGGTACTGTCTACTAAAATAATAAAATGCCTACATAAATACATAATAACACAAAATTTGTAAATATTACGATTACAGTGGGGTGTGGGAGGCGGTATTGAATTCTAGTAACTTTTCAGAACCCACCCCATATAAATTTCCTGATAACGCCACTGAATCAGCAGCTATAGAAAATATTAGGAAGATATGTTATGGAAAATGTATAATAACGTCTAAATTTAAGGTGGCACATTCTTTATCCTGCGCAACCAATAGAATCAATAGATTATATTGTATACTAACTACTAAAGACATATTATGATATATTTGTATCAAAATCTTAAAAATATATAAAATGTATTAAACACAGTTAGATGAACTTCAAATAATATATTATTATGTAATTAATAATAAAAAAAAGAGCTAAATAAAAAAATGTTAAATAAGGTTTAAAAAATATTACCCTTATTAACCCCTTGCGAGATCAAATGTAAAAAAAAACCGTGCAACTAACAGACGGTTAAGCAATAAAAACCATGAAATCAACAAGAAGTTAATCACTTATTAGGTAATTTAGGGAATTCATAGCAGTTAGAAACCATAAGATTTGAGCCCATGACTATAATAGTATTGTTTTTATTTACTCCAGTTTAATTATTTTAAAATAGAGTTGTACTTCAAACTAAATTTGTACATCTCTTTTTTTTTATCAGTTTAAGAGGATGTTACACCGACATTTGTTGTCTCCATAACATAGCAAATGTTATGCTCAGCCGAATAAGGCTTAGTTCCATTAGCTTACAATACAGGTAAGATTATTATGTAGGCAATTTCATGGTTTTTTTATTATATTTAAATTTCAAAGCGAGTTATGCGTATTTTAAGATGTTCAAACAATTTACCATTTTAGAAAACTCGTAACTCACTTTAAAATTAAAATATAATAAACAGCTCATGAAATTGTTTTGAAAATAATCTTACCTTTGAATTTTATAAGAGGTTCATATATATTTCATTTATAATTCACTCTGATTTATAAACTAACGTAGTTAAACGTGTTCTTCTGAGCGTACAGTTTGCTATATTACATACTTGTAAGACGAAGACAACAAATGTTGGTGGACCGTCTTCTTAATTAAATATAAATCACATTTCTTACCTATTATGGACAGCTTCATGCGGCAGATAGAAATCTTTTTTGAATGGTTCGAGCTTTTTTGTTTCCCATCGAGGTTTGCGTAAGTTAGAGCCTGGATCACATCTACCTCCTCGACCACCACCACCGCGTCGCCGTATCGGACTTCTACTTCGTCTATCCCGTCCACGTCTACGATCTCTCGATGACGATATTGGACTGTTAAGAAAATTATATAAACACAAAATTATTGTTTTATTAAAACGTAAGTAAGTATTACTTAAATTGAATATTACGATCGACTTACTTTCGACTGTAACCCATACTGGAGACCATTCACAGGTCGGCGGATGAAAAGTAAGAATTGTAAAATTCACGATTAGAAAATATAATTATTACTATATAGCCCAGATATTTAGCTTAATATGTTGAATAAGCAACTCAAAACACTGACGTATGGCATAAACTAATAACGACTTCAGAACCGTTTAGTAAATGGTAAATATAAACATATTGTATTTATGGATGAAGAATGAAATGTGAACTTTGTGAACTCTAAAATCGGCAATCAGCAGTCGCCAGTCAGTTCTCATCAGTCGGCACTCGCGACTCCCGAGTCGCTGATAGGCTCATAGCTTATTATATAGTTATTGTTGTTTAATAAAATGCATTGAAAATCCATGTTAAAAATGTTAACATGGCGTCATCATGGAGAAGAAACTTCGTACACAAAAAATATTTTTAATCAAAAATACTATTTAATTAAAAATACTTTTTTACTTTATTAATAATGCATATTATGCTTTATCATAATAAATTATTCTATTTTGTTTTCAATAAACCATTACTATTAATTGTTATGATAATGTTATAGGTGTTTTATTAACTTTTTTTTAAACAAGAAATATTAATTTATTTTGAAGTTCATTAACTATAGGTTTAAATATTAATTTTAATTTACATAATATTATTATATTATTATACTTTAATCCGTGGTTCTAACTTCTTATACATATTTCACACTGAGCACCCCTGGTTGTTTTGTTTATATTTTAGCCATTATCACTTTACATTAGTCATCTTAATCAAATTTCCCTTTGAATTACTATTGTCTATTTAGTATTCACTACCTATTTAGTATTTACCATTAAACAGTTTAAAATTTTTAAAAACGTAATTTTCTTTTTATATCGTTGAATTATCTATACTAATTTTGTTACCTAATAGCTCTATTTCTTATTATTGTTATAATGAAGTACACAATACTTTCTTGTTTTGTATTAGTTTTAGGTTTATCATTCTTGCATAAAGGTAATTTTATGTCTAAAAGGTGTGGCTGTCTTTTGTCACGCCCTTACTATTATAACAATATTATTAAGGCTTAACTTGTCGTGTTTAGTTAGTGGAATCCAATGCTACCAGTGTTCTACAAGTAGCGACCCACAAGGATCTGATAATTGTGGTGCATACGAAAAATTCCACAAAGATCGTCATGTCTCGGTAGAATGCACTAGTGATGAATCTCATACGCCTGGCACATTTTGTGTTAAAGTAACCAAACAAGGCCTCCGAGGATTTATATGTGAGTAAAAAGTGTCTAATAATTGATTTGGTCAATATCATCAACATATTTGTATGGTATTCTAATATTAATGCATTATGTTAATTATATTTTATTGTTTTAATATCAGGGGATGGTCGTTGGAGAAATGTGATCCGCCGTTGTGGATCGGTTTCCGATACTGGTGTGACTGGTGTATGCAACTGGGGAGTTGAATGGAATGGAGTCTATTGGGAAGAATGTTATTGTTCGGAAGATAACTGTAATTCGTCCACCAACATTACACCATTATCCGTCATAACAACCACACTGTGTTCATTAATTACTATGTACATATTAAGGAATTGATCTATACTTATATGTAATCTCGTAACGAATTCCGTCCAAACTTTATAGTGTTGATCACTACATTTTTTTTATACATTTTATAATTCACTTAATTATTAGTTTTAAAATATAAACAATTTATCTTTTTAAAAAATAACAGGTACTGTTTTCTCAATTACCTGAACCTGGAACAAATTATCAATGTTTTGTACAGTTTGTTAGTTTAGTATCAGGTATGAATGTAAGATGTAGAGAATTACATTTCAAAATACAAATAGTTCCATTACATCTTTTCTATTTGAATTTATGCTGATTATGATAACCGTAAGTGTCATAATTTGGGCTGATTTTGTTGTAAAATATAAATCATAAGAACGTGCTGCATCTAACCCCAATGGGCTGGAGCAATTACTAACTAATATAAGTTCATACAAATTGTAAGTGCATCTGATATAAAAATTTGGTGGTCAACCAGTGGTTGATTGGTTAAATATAATGTTACTATGTTAATAAGTATTACAAAAACAGATTATGTGATGCGCTGACAACTTATAGTTTGAATATATATTTTTGTTTCAATTAAACATTTTATCCACATTGTTACACAGTTCAGCTCTTATAAACGACATTTTTCCTTGAGACTTATTCTCTTGTTTATTTAATTCTTATCTAACCTTAGTAGTACTATATTAGGTGATGTACTGATGTTTTGTTTGAGAATTCTTCATGTGGTATTAATACAGAAAATTATTTTAAAATAATTTGTTTTTGTTGCATTAATAAAAAATTAAACAATGAATTATGTGACCATCCCTGTATAGCTGAGAGGAAAAAGCAAAGAAAAAGAATCATATAATTGTTTACCTCAGTGGCACGACCAGGGTTTATTCAACGGTATTTTTTCTTTATTTTTGTGTCTGTCATCATTTTTTGGGGCAGTAAGACTGCTTTGGTTTTCTTCAAGAGTATCCATTGTTCAATAAGAAAGTGAATCTAGTTGGTGCATTCGGGAGGAAAATTTTAAAATACTCAATAATTTTCAAAAGTGCCGGGAAAAACAACATGAAAGTTAAGGACAAAACGGGAATTTTTACGCAATATCAGTTTTCGACAAAATCAATTTTGGTTTTTGGTGTTATTTTAAAACAAATAAACGTATATACATAAAATACATGACTGGTTGTTTGCATTCGCATTTTCTATACACGATAAAATTTTCAAAAAATTTTTATTTGTTTTAAACTGTTTAGGAACACTTTCTGTTTCCAATTTTATTAGTCTTTTTTTCTGCAAATGTCAATAAAACTTTATTTGTTGGGTAAAAAAGCTTGAAAATACAATACAAGAATCCTACTATATTGTATACTGTACTATGTATAATTTATCACCATTCATTACAGTGACCCACTTGTAACCTACTGTACAGCCAACCTACTTGCCCACCTTTTTAAATTTATATTTACAATACTTATATTTCCGAAGTACCTTCACTGTATAGTTTCTTCCCTCAAGACACTCAAGCCATTACACTTAATTTAATTTAAAAAACATACATTATGCTTATTGTACTTTTTTTTTTTAGTATAGATTGTGTAAGTTTTAGATTAAAAATAAAAATAAAAATATTTACTATATAATATGTCAATTAATTATTAATGTTATGCTAATTTAATTATGGCATAGTCATATATTGTCTCATACTAATCTCATAAGTAATCTAATCAATAGGTTTCGATGAACATTTCAGGGAAACTTTTAAAATTAAAAATAAAATTATGACATAAGCCAGGGGGAGGGGGGTCCCCGGGTCCGAACCCCCTCCCCCCTCTCGGTTGCTCCACTGGACTATACCTTCATTTCATTAGTCAAAAGAAATGTGTTAAAATTAGACTTAAGCTGAGCTGCCAAAAGTAGGTTTGGCCTATGGGTCCATCGTCCATAACTAATATACAACCTTTTTTCTATTATTTCACATTATATTCCATATTAGTATATAACAATATATTCTGGTGATCACTATGTTATATTTATTTTTTAATTTACTTACTCATCAATAAAATCCATAGAGTATACTCTATAATAAAAGCATAATATAAATAAATACAATTTTTCTTAAAATAATAAATTGTAAATAATATGCATTAGGCATGGTCAAAAATGAAAATTCCAGTAAAAAAATTTTACTAAAAAGAAAGTGTACATACTTAAAATATTATGATTGCTTCATTATTATCTGTCGGAATTTGTGTTTGCTTTCCACCATATGCAATATTTTCAAATAAATTTCTGTTTTATAAGCAATCGTAAATAAACAAAAAATTTTAATTTAACACAATATTTAGTTTTCTTATATATCCAGTACACTGCAGAAAAAATGTTAAATACTGTTACTGCTGAATTTTAAAACCAAACAGAATAATTGTTCTATTGTTGTAGTAATATAGGTAACTGCATTCACATATTACATAGGTTAGTTATATACTTATATCGTTGAGAAAGATAAAATATAGATAAAAAATTATATAAGTATGTTCTTACATTCTTAAAAAAAATGTGTTTAGTTTCAAGATAGTAAACACCTATCACATTTTTCTCATTCAATTACAAACTAAATGAATACATTTTTTTAAATAATGTATAAACTGTATTATTGTGGTACTACTTATACTTTGCATTAATATTTTAATTACTTTCAAATATTTTTCTGAAAGCATAAAATATCAGTGGCGTAGCCAGAGGTGGGGCTTAGAGGGCTGTAGCCCCCCCCCCGCGAAATGTTAAGAAAATTAAAAAATTATTTTAATGGTCTATGATAGTGGCTCAAAAAGTTTTAAATTGTATTTAAAATATTAAAAAATGTACTTTTTAGTTTTTTTTAACTTTTTTCGGCTATCTATATCTGTGCTAGTATGTATTTAATGTGTAAAAGTGTAAAGATGATCAGCCTCCTCCTCCCCCCCCCCCAAAAAAAAAAAAAATCCTGGCTACGCCACTGTAAGATACATTAAATTACCAAATTTAAGAATGTTTTAAAATATTCATTATTAGATTTTACAAATTTTGTAAAAAAAATTACAAATTATTTTCAATATATTTCATTTATGTAACTACCAGGTAACCTTCAAAGAAAAATTAAACTAATAGTATAAAATCATTAAAAAACAAAAAGAACAACATTTTACAAATATAAAACATAATAAATAAATTAAAAATTATGCAGCCATGTCTAACCAGACCGTGAGTTTTGTTGTCCTATATTCAGTAGCCCCTGCTGA